TTTTTCTTTACAATTTTTTACTCAGAAAATTAGCTAGGTTCATGTATCTTTAAAATTTTAATTAATCAAAAGTATATATTAATTAATGAAAAAATATGAGTTATATTATATATATTAGTTGATCATTATGCTTATGAAGCATGTGCATGGATTTGATGGGGCTTGCTTTTTTGCGCACTCATGATCAATTGACTTGTTTTCAAGGTCAAACTAACTAAACAATAAAATAAAATCTTCTCAATATAGATATTAATATTCTAATTTATTTTAAATTCACTAGTGAAAAGTGACATATTCCAAACCACACAATAACCTTTTTGTGTTGACCTTGAAGAAGTCAAACCAATGGAACAATAATTTTGTTCCTATAAAGTTTGTTAGTTAATAATTTTTAATTAAAAATCATAATTAATTAAATATTATGCATGGATGTTGTGAGGGCAGTGGTATGAGTTTGAGTTGGTGGTGATATGTGTGGGAAGATATGGAGACATACCAAACATGCCAAAATTCCCTCCCAACAAAGGTCCAGAGGTTTTCAAAGGCAAGGTTTTGCACTCCATCGACTACGCCAAGCTCGACCACGACGCTGCACGCGCCCTGCTTCACCACAACCGTGTCGCTGTTGTCGGGTATCGCAAATCTGCCATCGATGTAGCGGTTGAATGCGCCGAAGCAAACCAAGGTACTTCCGTTCGTTCATCAAGATCGGAGCTTTACATCTTCTTAAAATCTGATTAAAGATTTGTAGTGATTTTTCTTTTGATTTTGTGTGTTTTAGGACCTGAAGGGAAGCCCTGCACCATGGTTATCAGGTCACTGCATTGGACAGTCCCATGTTATAGAATTTGGGGTTTGCCCTTTTTCTTGTTTTACTCAACAAGGTTCTCTCAGTTCCTCCAAGAGAGCCCAAATCAAGGCCTTTTCAAGGCCCTTTTCTGCTCCCTCATTTCTCCAACGGTACCATTTTGCTTCTTTCTCTATTAAATTATTACTTTTGTCGTTAAAATTATTATCATTAAAATTATTTGGATCTAAACACATGTGGAAGTGAAGACTCGAACTAGTAATACAGATTTAATTACCCTTTAAACATTAATAATGAATCGTGAGAACATAATTTAAACATTATTATATATTTTGGCGGGGTTGAAGTTTAAGTGTGGGGGTGTGTTTTAAGCAGAGAAAGGCAATATCGAAGTTCATAGAGTCATATTTGACATGGAAGCTGCCATTGGAGAAGTATGGGCTGAAGCCAGAGCACCCATTTGAAGAGGACTATGCTTCTTGCCAAATGGCTATTTTGCCTGAGAATTTCTTTGAGGAGGCTGAGAAAGGCAAGATTCAGTTCAAAAGGGCATCAAAATGGTGGTTTTGGAGTGGGGGACTTGAATTTGAAGACAACACCAAATTGGAAGCTGATGTTGTCATTCTCAACACTGGCTTTCTAGGCAAACAAAAGCTCCAATCCTTGTTGCCTCACCCTTTCAGAAGCCTCTTGGTTGACTCTTCGGACATCATCCACTTGTACAAGTAATATTCATCATTCCAAAATTTAAGTTGATGGATTAATGCTTTAGCACGACGTAACTACATATTTGAATGCGAAAAAACAGGGGTGTGATTCATCCACTGGTACCAAACATGGCGTTTGTGGGGTATATGGAGAGCGTATCAAACCTCCGCACGGCGGAGCTTCGGTGCAAGTGGGTGGCACGGCTGGCGGATGATCGTTTCAAGCTTCCGAGCATCGATGGAATGCTTGAACAGACTGCAAGAGAGGTTCAAGTTATGAAGAGGACCACACGTTTCTATAAGCGTCAATGCATCTCCACATTCAGCATTAACCACACCGATGAGATTTCTCAGGAGATGGGAGACACTTTGGCAAACAAATAAAATAAATAAATTATAACACAACCTTTATTTTCTGCCCTTATTAATGAGAGAAACTGAGTTTGTTATGTCATATTTATTTGCAATACAATGTATTAACTCTTAAGTATCGTTAATAAAATAATTAAGCCAAAGTTCTCCTCAATAGCTATGTTGTGTTTCTTCATGGCATATGCAGAGGGGTGTCTAGGATTAATCTGGTGGTTTTTATATTATTTGATATACCAAAGGGGAAAAGACCCAAAATTGCTGGGAAAGACTTGAAATTTTAGTATTTATTGTAGATTTGATGCATTAAAAGTAATAAATTGGACATGAAATTAAGAAGAGATTGAAAGATTACCGTCTTGAAAGGTCGGTGATTCGATCCACCCTTGCAATGGTTTAACTAAAGAGAAAAAAATGAATATAGAAACAAAGAAAGAAAGATTTAGAAAAAGGGGGAAAAGCACAAGCTGTTCTTCCCTTATTAATTTAACTCCATTGTTTCCTATTTTAAACTTTAAAGCAACTGCTTTTGGCAGGCTTTATTACAAATAGCGTGGATTCTAAAACTACCAAAATTGAAATATATATTCTTTATATATAAAAATAAATATAAAGAAAGAGCTAAAGATTTGATTAATAAAAAATAATCCAATCTTTTTCAAGCTAACCACTCCCCATCCATGCCTTCAAACTCTCCAATGTCCATGCTGCATAAAAAAAAACACACAAATACAAGTACAAAATTAATTAATAAAACTCATATTTACTTTAAAAAAATAAAAACAAAAATAAAATATTAATGGGCCGGGCCGGGCCCAACTGTGAAGTCAGCTGAAGTAAAAAGCCCATTGGCATTGCCTTCTCCCAGTCAGTTTGACCCAATCCCCACATTGGTCAAAATTTAGCAGAGAGAAAGAGTATTTCCATTTCCAAACAATTTATAAGATTGAATAGACTAATGTAAAATAAATTAAAAATATATATTGCTTCATTATTATGTATGTGAGAGATGGTTATTCTTTTTCTTTGTATCCACCCAACAAACTCACCCTATGAAAACGATTTACAATTGAAATAAATGTCAAAAAAAAAAAGAAAAGGAATCCAATAATAGAGGATACATATTAATATAAAAATTATAGTTTGTCTCTTGTATAAACTTGATGTTGATGCAGAATATATTTATATTTATTCATACAACATCATCACTAGTTTTCATCTCCAATTTGTTTCCAAGACATGATTCATTAAGAGTATAAGCATGTCGACATTTATTGAAATGGTTTATTACAAAGAAAAATCTAACAAAATTGAATCATCCCACACAAAAAAAGAAAATTGAAACACTTCCATATTTTTTTTTATAACAATAATATTAAAT